AAACGATAGGTGGAACCTTATAGAATTTGAGCTGCATGGCTAATTTCCCAACCTATCATTTTCACAGTAGGTGTGACAATGAGCCTGTTGATTAGAATTGATTGTTTTCATAAGAGATTAGTTGAAGGTATTGCAATGACTTGATTTTTTTAAAATTGTGTTATTTTAAGTAATGCTATTGTCAATAGACACAACTTTGTTTTGTCAGCATGGCACTTGATGTCTGCCTTTGGTAGATACCTGGTAAATTGGCATTGAGAAGAGCAAGAATGATGACTTTGCACTAAGTTGGTAGCGGAGCTATAAAGGGCCATGGAGATTAATGGGGAAATTAAGTTGGAAAAGGAATTGTGGGGGGATGGAAAGAGGGACAGAGGGGCTAATAAATGACTGTTGGGATGTGGGGATATAGGGTAGTATTATGATCCCAGCTGATTTTGTCACTGGACAAGTCAGATCTGAGACTGAAATTGAATTTGATAGATCATGTTTTGGTTAGTTTTAACAATAAACAGAAGTTTAATAATAAAAGAAGTGACAGAATAAGCCAATCTATTTAATATATGATACAAACTTAAAGATTTTGCAACACATAAAACATAATCCCATTAATCCCAAAATACACGTCCTGCATGGTACTTAAAACTACCTTGTTGGTAACCCATTTGGGAAAGTAAGCTTCACTGACCCAGGATCATCACAAAGGTACATATAAATAGGTTCTAGCCACAAGTAAACAAAACTATGATCTACCAACTTGTACCTTTACTGGCTGAAACTCTGACCCCCTTTAAAACTGCTGCACGAATATTCGGACAGACACAAGCGAGCAAAAAAATGTGAAAAATATTGGGGTAACAGTTCAAAAGTACTAGTTCAGGGTTCAATGAGATGTTCCTTTTGCTTATCAAGACATATTCAATTCTTTTTCTCCACATAAGTAGATGATTGTACACTAATTACAAAGCCTCTTAGTTCCTGGTTAAAGGCAACAGCTTTCAATAACAGGCTTTCCTCAGGTACTTTTCCAACAGTGATTGAAATATAGCAGTTGTTTTTCCTTTTATTGTTGACACTATTGTAAGTAGTGTAGAGTATGGGAGCGAGGGCTAATGCTGGAGTTTTACAGAGTGTTGGTTAGGCCACAGCTGGAGTACTGTGTGCAGCTCTTAACACCACACTACATGAACGATACAATAGCACTAGAGGGGTGCAGAGGAGGTTTGTCAGGTTGTTGCCTAGGATGGAGCAATTGAGCCACAGGGAGAGACTACATAGGCTCGGATAACACAGTATGGAGCTGGCGAAGCATAGCAGGCTAGGTAGCATCAGAGGAGCAGGAAAGTTGACATTTCAAGTCGGGACCCTTCTTCAGAAAAGAAGGGTCACAACCCAAAATGTCAACTTTCCTGCTCCCCTGCTGCTGTCTGGCCTGCTGTACTTCTCCAGCTCCATACTGTGTTATCTCTGACTCCAGCATCTGCAGTTCTTGCTATATCTGACTGCATAGACTTGGATTGATTTTGTTTTAGAGCAGTGAAGGCTGAGGATGGAAATGATTAAGATGTATGAAGTTATGAGGGGTATGGATAGGGTGAGTAGGGAGCAGCTGTCCACCTTGGGGTGGGGGGTCAATCATAAGAGGGCATAGTTCTAGGGTAAGGGGCAGGACGTTCAGAGGGGATTTGAGAAAAAAGCTTTTTCATTCAAAGGGTGGTGGAAATCTGGAATGTACTGCTTGTAGTGGAGGCCAGAAACCCCTCAACCTTTGAAAGAAGTATTTAGATGAACACTTGAAATATCATAACATTCAAGGATATAGAACGAGGGCAGGAAATTGGGATTAGAATCCCCGTTGTGGTAGTTATTGTTAATGCAAACTCAATGGGCCATACTGCCTGTTCTGCACTGTACGACTTTATAACTCTGACTCTATAACTCAACTCATAATGTGTTTTAGTAACTTGTTTTCAAAAGTGCAGCAATTCCTTCTCCAGTCCTTGCTTTTGAGAAGTCCTTTTTCCATTTTAGGCTACAAGCAAAAATAAAGAAAAAACGGTGTAATTTTTACATCCCCTTGTACAATACTCAAATGGAGGAAGAAAATTCTTAACATCTCAAAAGGTTTAACTGTGTCTTTGATTCCCAGTCTGGAAATCTGATAGCCTCTTCCTGGAGCTGTCATATATCTAAGCCCAAATATTCTCAGCTTCAAACAACCTCTACAGGTTGTATCCAAACACTCCTGATCTGAGCCTATTACTAATATCCATGCTGTAAGATAATCTATCTTTATTATCTTTTCTGTTTTTTAGGAACACAGCCTTACACTTTCAACTTCATCCAAGACTTCTGCAGAACTGCCTAAACTGCAGCTAAAAAAGATTCTTTGCAAGCTTATTGGTGTTTCCCTGAGGTTAGAAAAAGTCCAAAAGCTTCCAACCAAAATCCCAATGCACAATTCTTACCTTGCTCATTTGTAAACTTTCTTAATGTAAACAAAAAGCCATCAGCTCAGGAGGTTACATCTCTATCAGTTTGTTTTAAACAAAATCACCATGGCTACAGAAATACTTGCAAGTTAATCATTAAACCTATCAGACACACACAAAACCTATATGTCACTAATTCAAAATTTGGAAATCCCAACTTGGAAATGAATGATATGAGATATATATTATAGTTAAACACACCCTACATCACAGAAAGCATTGGGGTATAACAGACCATGCAGATGGATAGAGGAGTAGCATATAGCAAGAAGCTATATAGGGATATGGAAAAGAAGGAGGGACGTTTGGGAATGAGGGTCTATGGTGGTGTGTACAGGCAAAAGCTGACATGGAAAGTATGATAATAGATAAGGACATATGATGGCATGGATGAAGCACATGGTATGTGTGTGAGGGAGCTGAAGATCTATTTTTAATTTTATTCCTTTTCTTATTAAAAATACACTGCCAGAGCATTGAGTGAGGCCTGCCACATAGCCTGGTTCTGCACCCGGTAGCCTACATTTTCATTCCAGGGTAATCTGGGTCAATATCCAAGAAGCCCCTTCACGCCAGAATGAAAATCATAAGTTCCAAGCATTTCTTTTCTCAGGTCAGGTTTGCAGAGCTGAGAAGTGTCCAGTCTCTGTGATCCCAATGTGGCATCAAAACTCCAGGTCTATCTGTCCACTTTGTGGGTTAGAGTGGGTTTGGATAGGGAAAGCAGATTTTTCAACCTTTAATTTCCCCTCAATCCTTCCAAATCCACTCCACCTTAACAGCCCTTATTTAAAGTTAAAGTTCAGACATTTGAAGCTATGAAATAGGAGAAGCAATTCATTGAACCCCTCAAGCTTGTCCCACCATTTAATAAGATCATGGCTGATCTGTTTGTAACCTCAAATCTACTTTCCTGACTATCTATCCCTGATAATCTTTCACCTCCATGCTTAGCAAGGATCTATCTACCTCTGCCTTAAAAATATTCAAAGACTCTGCTTCCACCTGCTTTTCAGGAAGAGAGATCCATAGACTCATGACCCTCTGAGAAAAAATTGTTTTGCCTAATTTCTGTTTTAAAGTGCTATTTCTAATTTTTAAATAGTGAGCCCGAGTTCTAGGTTTCCCATTAGAGGAAACTTCCTCTCCACATCTACCCTTTCAAGATCTCTCAGGACCTTACGACTATTCTGTCAGCTTGTAGTTCAGAACCAACCCTGTTACATGCATTTTTAAACTCAGCAATTGTCAGAATTTTACTGTTTTACAATTGTTCAAGTCATAACTTCATGATCTAATTGTAACTGATTGCATTTTTAAATGAGACAACAAGGTGCAGAGCTGGATGAACACAGCAGGCCAACCAGCATCATAGGAGCAGAAAGGCTGACGTTTCGGGCCTAGACCCTTCATCAGAAAAATGATTCAGTTCATTGGCTTTGAATGAGCTAGAACAAATGAAAATGAAACTGGACTTAAATTGTGAAGATGGCTGTGTCAATGTGATTTGTATTCCTTGGAATATCGAAGTTTAGAGAGTGATACAATTGGGATGTTTAAGATAATTAAGGGTTTTGATGTACGTGGATAGAGAAAC